GTAGGTTCTAGGAGGTCCTAGTGGGGCTTAAGGAGATTAAAGTTGTCTTGAGCACCAGATGAGGGAATATTTTAGACCAGGACGGTGATGGTGACAGGGTCAGAGGTCACAGCACGAAACAAGAAGAACCAGGCTGGTGACGGTCAACAGACACTTCAGTGGACCATCTCGGGTCCTGTTCCTGCTGCATAAACCTCCAGCATCCATCGTGCTGAGCCAGCACTTTCAGTATATCACCCCTCGAGCAGAGCGTGTCACATCAGCTCGCCAGCTGTTTCACAACCGCTATATCGGTCCGGTTTCTAGAGAGAAGACAAAAATACACACAGAGCGATCAGATAAACTGCCGAAGGGGGGGGGGGGCAGGCGTTATGCAAGCTCTGCTGAACTGTGTGGGGAGGACAGGACGAGTGATGGACGGCCTGCAAACTGTGGACGGACCCCCCCACGACCCTCGCCTCCTTACGCCCCCTCCACCCACAGAGGCCCTGACGGGGGACAGTACAGCCCACAAGCTCTGCTGAACGTGAACTATCTTGCTTTTATAATCTTAGCTGTAGCACTTTTGAGATTTGCTTCAAAGGTAAAGTGCGTAACAATTAAAATTGATTATTGTTATTATTATTATTGTCTAATGGTCATATCAAACTTGTATTTGATCATACTTACACTGCAGCCTGAACCTCAGCGTTAGCTACTGATCACAACTGAACATCTATTGCTGCAGCTGGCTCACAGGCTTTTATTGTGAAATATCAATTCTATTGAAATCAATTCAGCTTTATTGGCATGAATGTCAAACAACAATATTGCCAAAGCTACAAATAAATTACCAAAGAATAATTCATTTCATACAGTTCATTAGATAATAAGTAAAACAGTAAAAGTGTGTGTTTGTGTGTGTAAAAATAAATAAATAAATATAAATATAAATAAATAATACAGTGAGCTTCTAAGCTATCTATATGAACACAACGTATCACGAGGCTCGAAGTACTCTGTTACTCACTGAAGATGAAAAAGATATGGACATTTTCAATCCAAGTCAAAATACTTTATTTTGGAATTTGGGGCAACTGATTTTTGATTATTTTAGCTTTAGCTTTTAGTTTATCACAGGTATGCATTCAGTCACACACAGATACATGAGCTGACGCTAAAACGTTAGCAGTGTTGCCGATATTCTTTTTTTATATTGCCGATTCCGTCATTGGAGCCGGATCTGATCGGCTCAGCTATGAGGAGGATCCAGAGAGACTGTCCCCCCTCCGCAAGAACATCAGCAATCCCCAAAACATCTGTTTACAATCACGTGACAGCGCCCTCTAGTGACCACAGAGATGGTGACGGGAGCAAAAGAGGAAGTCAGGTACGTTACAGAGGTCGAGGGGGACACATACGTACTCTCTGGTGGTTGCTCTGCTGGTACCAGCGCACTTAATCGTTCATTTAGTATGCAGCATGCCAACACACAAACAAACAAAAAACATATAAGAGCGTTTTCTGAAATGACATGTGCGAGCGTTGGCAGGTACCAGTCCAGCGACAGGTGCACCGGACCTTCAGTATGTTATGTATGTCATGATGTTAACACGTGGTAAACGCTGTGTGGTAGCTTGGTTTGTTTAGGCCACAGAACCACTTGGTCAGGTTTAGGAAAAGATGGTGGTTTGGGTTACAGTAAGTACATAAGTAGTCAGGTGACAGATGTGAAGTCCAGGCTCAGGTGTGTTTACCTGTGCGTGTGTCACTGTTGGAATTTCCAGTCTGTCTTTGATTGACAGGTGCTTTCAAGCAGGGGAGTACACGTTGCTGATGAACCGTAGAGCCATTTTTCCACTGTGACGTTGTGGAGAGTTCACACCTCTGTGGCTGTAACCAGATCTAGTCCAACCCGAGCCAAAGACAAAGAAATTAAAAACACACACACATAAAACATAAAACGGTCGTGATGAGTGTGAACCTGCACCTGGTCTGAGGCCAGGCATTCTCTGGCTGCAGGATTAAAACAACAGCGAGTGAATGACAGCAGACATTTATAGCTCTTTCCATCATCGGGCCAGTATTGATAAAACACAAACCTGTACGGACTAGAAGAGACTCGGTGAGTTTGCGTCGTCCTGAAGGTGTGTTGTTTTAAAGGTGTG